AGAAGCTTTGATCTGAAGCAGCACGACATGCCCCATACCCATGCCCCGTATTCCACTCCCTATTTTCTATCCCTCTCTCTCTCTCTCTCCTGCTCAGCCAAAGGATGTGGTTGCTTTCGCCTGGCTTTGGCAAACTTTGCGACATCCTGCCTCCCGCCTTCCGCCTCTCGGCCCAGCCATTTTATGCTTGTGTGCAGCTGACAGTAACAAGTTCAACAAAAGCGCCAGCGCTTTTAACTTTATTAAGATATCACAAACATACGCATACACCCATTAGCCACGCCCACGCCGAAGCCCACGCCCAGGCGCAGGCTTCAACAGACTTTTCACATAATTTGCAGCAATGACAAGAAGGGTTTTCCTTAATTGAATTTCAACGCCATTAAAAAAGAATTATGCCAGCCTGTTATGAGAGATGCGAGATGCTGGCTGAGAATTGACTATTGAGAGCTGCGCGAGCTGAGAGTTGAATTGGCAGCTGCTTGCCACAGAGTTGCTTAGTTAATTGAAATTATCACTGTCATCATTATGAAGTTACATTATCATTATAATACCTAATGCTGATGACGCTAATGGTGGCTGCAACAGCCTTGACGGCTCCGCTGCTCCTCTAAAGTCCGCCTAGCTGCTGGCAATTACTGTCAGTTCCAGAAACGTTGCCAGGGAGCAGGAAGCCGGGTGCAGGGAGTAGGGATGCAAGGTGCAAGACAGAGTCGCTGCTGCTGCTGCTGACAGCAGATTGAAATCAGACGAGCATTGTTACTTAAACAGATGTACTGCAACAGAAATACACTGAGTGCAAATTATAATGAGCCCGATCCGAATAGATAACAAATGTTTTTGTGTTAGCTGTCAGAGAGTTGAGGAAATTATGAAAATTTAATTAATGAAAGTTTATTCATCTAATTTAGGCTATAAATAAATTACATATATGCGTAAATTATGGTAATGGTGAATTTCTACAGTCAATTCCTCACATCCTAGCCATCAAAGCATTTTTGTTGGATCATAAACAGATTTCTATAATATTCGAAAAATTAATTAAATTTCTACCTGTTTTGTAATTAAAAGATTTGCCCATTTCTTTTATCTCATTGCACGTTTTTATTCGTCGCTTTTTGCAATGAAATTGTTCTGCTTTTGCACTACCCTTTTCCCTTCGCATGGTTAATGTTTAACTTTTTGCCTGACCCCGCCCAGCTAGTCTTTGTGGTTGCAGCCTCTCAACTGAAAGTGCATTTAAGCACTTTGCAGAGCGTTGTGTGCTTTAAGTGCCGCAATTACCGAACCGCACACACACATGACTAAGCAATGCAATTTGTGGCAAGTATCTGTTATTGTGGCCACACAATTTCTTGTGAGTCATTTAGCATAAGCGAGCTGTTTCCGTCAAAGTGGCCAAATCAGGGAAACTAAAACGAGGCCTGGTCAGAGTCGTAAATAAAAAGAAAAGAGCCAAATAATTAATCTTTGGTTACGCTGCGCGTGCTCTGCGTTAATGAGCCACGTTTGCACCACAAGATAAATTATATTGCGCATACGACGCGTTGCCGGATGGCATTGAAGGCGTAAGCAATTGACACTCAATTCATTCAAATCTCTATTGCCGCACCCTCATTGCGGGCAACGTTATAAAAGTACGCGTATACGAGTGAATTTAAAACATGAGCATTAATAATACATAAGCCTGACTGACGACGGAAGGGAAGGGGCGAAAAAACATGGGTGTAGGGCTGAGGCAAGGACAACAGCAGCGGCTCCAGCAGTCTGTGACAGGACATGCCCAAGACGCAAGGAGCGGTATGGCATATCGGGGCGGCAGGTTGCCGCTCCAATTGCCCAATTGAAAGAGAAATTTGTGGCGCGCTGCCTTTTCTTGGCAGCCATTTCGTGACCTGCCGGCGACAAACAAGCGCTAAAGGGGCACACGGCACGAAAGTTTTGACGGCTTCTGCCTGCCCGCCTGCCAGCCAGCCCCGCCCATACGGGGCTGTCCGCGCTTTAAGCCAGCTTCGGCTCCGCCCACGTACAACAATATTTTTGGGCCCGTTTGTGGCATGTACACCTGCAGAATGCAGTATGCAGAATGCAGAATTGCGAATGCAGAAAGCACTTTGCGGCCCATGTCGAGAGCGAGCACAGCGGGGCAGGTGAGTAGGGCAACGATGACTATTGAACTCCCACGCGAAACGAGAGCCCTGTCGCATGTGTGCCAAAAACTCATCTAGAAGCCAGGGAAATACGAAACGCAGCTCGGCGTTTGCACGGAGTCGTTGCCATTGATTTTTATCGTGCATAAAAATATAAAATAAAATAAAAACAAATTCAAAGACGGAAAACATGAAAGTCAACAATAAATAAGCAGTATGAAGACGTTGGCAAAGATACAATCCTGACTACAGTTCTAGATACATTAGCCTTGAAGCAAAAGCCTACGAGCTGTCAACTATGAAAGCTGCAGATAGCGAATGCTTGCCATGAGTATTCGTTAGATGAGTTCTTGTTCGAGTGACCCAGTTATTAATACAGTTTATGTTTTGGTTTGAAGTCGAATAACAAATGGAAAAGAAAGTCATAAATGCGAACTACTGCTTTACTTGTAGGGCCTTCGGTCAGATGAACTCATTGGCAGAGCTACGAAAGATATGTTCAACTCTACACTCAATCAAATTTTATTATACAAATTTCCGATTCAACAGCAAGCTAAATGAATTCACGCTGTTTCTTTGTATAAAAATGGGCATAAAATGCCACCAAAATGTACAGAACAGCAGCTGGAAACGAGAAGTAAGCGCAAACAAACTGGGCGAGGAATAGTTTTTGCAAATCATTGAAAGTGCACTCAGATGCGGAAACGAGTGCACATTGTGCATGCGGATATAACTCAAAAGCCTGTAAGCCCTGACAGGCTGCTAGATATCCATATAGCTCGCATATAGTTGTTGGCTATATAACATATATCGTGTAGTTCTGGGCGCTGTCACGGTTTGTCATATGCACACTCGGCGCATTGCCAACTATTGATTATGTTCTCAAAAAAATGAATGGAAGTGCGCTTCGCTGAGTTTGCCTAAGTGTAAAAGGCAAAGGGTTGTCTCAGCGGCGACGCGGTACAAGCGGGGGCACGAGGGGAATAGGCAGCAGAAGAAGTTGCCAACGTATGCACGTCATCAGGCAAAGGACATCCGGGAGAGCTAATGCATAAATAGATAACTAACTAGAACTAAACTGAATTGAGGATAGCCTCTCGTGTGCCACAAATTGTCAATTGACCTGGCACAAGTGGAATAAACTTTAGACTGGCCCCCTCGCTGCAAGTTAACAACTTTAATGGCCCAAATATGCGCTACGAAATGCCAACCAAACATGCATATATACACTAGTGTCATCATCAACGTGTGGCAAAAGTTTTGCTGCTTAATGTGGCGTGACGCTTAGGAAATATCAGCATATTCGTGGAGTAGCAAAAATAGACTCAACTTTGTACATTGTCTCGACACTTAAATGTGACAGAGTTTTTAATAAGCACCTGTCACATATGACTGGCAACTAGGCGCTGGCCAGGCTAAGGCCTAAATGAAATACATAAGAGAAAGTACAATAAGATAAATTGAAGTTTGAGCTCAGATTCTAGGGGACGGGAAAATAATAATGGCTTTAAATGTTTTAAAACCGAGAAAGTAAGGATATCTTCGGCAAGCCGAAGATTTAATACCCCTGTAGACATTTCGATGTAACGACATATCTCCGCGCGGGATGCCGACATTTGCCTTTTGCAGATATGTGAGAATAGATTAACAGAATGAAGCTCGTAAATGCTGAATTTGTTGAAAATATCTTTGAAAATAGAATATTTTGCCATATTTGAACCTTTTAAAAATACATTATTATTGTAGTTTAGAAGCCTTTTAAATCTACGCGTAAAGTGCCTAAATTTGTGTTTAAACATGAACACATCAAGTCTTAGTCTACGTAAGCTATCTTAAGATTAGTTTACAATTGAAAGGCAAAACTTCTTCTATGCTATATAAAGCACTTTTGCTTTTAAAAAAATGTTATTTAAAAAATAAACGTGTTAAGAAATATATTTCAGTAAAACCTTGCTTCAGCTTAATTGTATTCGAGTGCATATTCTTCTTTTTTCAATTTAAAAACATTTCTGTGTATGCTGTCAGCCGTGTAGCTCGTAAATTCGAGTTTTCATCTATTTTTAATGTGCAGTTTTCTCTCTGTTTTTTGGCTCAAATTGGTTAGGACGCCTTCGGCCACGCCCCAGCTGACCTGACAATGAAATTGGCGAGCTATTAAGAGGCGCTGTGTACTCCTCGTGTCACATTTGTTTACACTTGTGCAGCTCTGTTTTATTTTGTCGGCGACTTTGAGTTTGATGGCATCGACGGCCTCGCCTGCACTCAAATTGTCAAGACTCATAAATTTAGACAGCACTCCCTGCTTATCGCTGGGTAATGGCAGCCGCCTCTTCAGTTCGCACCGGCTGATTGCTTATCGAGCGCACGTACCAACTGCACAGAATAGTCGGGCAACGGTTGTATCTGCGGCATTGGGATGGCCAAAACCAGAACGTCGCTAATGGCGTTTGACAAGTTGCAAATGTGCCTGCTCGGCTTGTGTAATTGTTATCGATAAACAGCGACAGACAAACAAAAATACAAAATAAAAAGGTTTATAGGTTGTCCCACTCCCATTCTGGCATTCTGGCCACGCTGATACAAGGGGTAGCCGAGTTCAGCAAAGTGAAGTTCGTAAAGTAGCATGTCAAATTACTACGCTAATTGACTCATAAAGTGGGTGGATGGGTGCACGTACACTCGAGTGCAGAACAAAGTAATATGCAAAGCTGCCTAAATTAGTCAAAATATCGATTGAATTAACATAATTTCATAGCAACTTCTAGGTGCTTCCCTTTGCGCCACATTACACATACGCCCCGTGCACGTATTCGAAAATTTGCAAGTCAAGAGCTGCTAGCTGTTAGCTGCTGTACTTACCTGACAAGAAGTACACGCACCGTTGTATACATATATCGAGAGCTATATATGTGTGTATATATATTGCAGGTATAAGGTTTAGAGGCCAGAATAAACAGAGAGAGTTTTAGAGTTGAAAATTTCGCGAGCCTTACGCTTTGGTTGCTTTTAAGCCTACGCACTGAGAGGCATTTTTTTGTTAAGCTGCTGTGGCTTACATTTTCCGCTTGAAATGGCCACAGAATTTGTCACAGACACACGCGCTCTCTACGGGGCAACAAATACACATATATACTTATACATTTATATATTTATACTTATATATATTGGCTCAATTATTGCACTACATACGCACACACACACACACACACGCACACACCGACCACAATTTGCATTGAAAATTTCCCAAGAGCAGCAGCGGCAACAACAACCAACAACAACTATTCCTAGAAAATGTTGTCTGAAAACGGACAAAATATAAAAACGGGCAAACAAAGGAAAGGAAACAAAGCCCGACATGGGGGTCAGAGGCAAATAAAAACTTATTCGGCTGTCATTTATGATAATGCGTATACGCCGTGCTGGCCACGAGGAGTTTCTATGAAATTTACAGTAGTCGCAGCTCGGTTATTTCGTTATTTGTCTTCACGTTCGCGTCGTCCGTTTGTCTGCCCTGCTGTTCGCCTATCTGTCTACATTTGGCTGGCCTACCCTGTTCCTGTTCATGTTCATGTGTGTGACTGTCTGTGTGTGCGTCTGAGAGTGTGTGTGTGTGTGTGTTGGTGGGCACACGCCTTACTTTCACATTCACATTCATTCCCACACAATAATTTATTTCCCTTTGTTGTTGTCGTTTTTATCGTAATACTTAGTACACTTTTTCTCTAAATACACTTGCTGCACAATTTCTCAATTTATCTGTTCTTCTGCTTGGCTTTATATTTTGTTTTATTTCCCCTTTTATTCTTCTTTTTTTTTGTTATTTTTGTGTAGATTGTTAAATTATTAAGTTTTCATTTGCATTTACATGCTACGGTTCTTTGTGCTTTCCGCTTTTCAAAATTTCCAGCACAACACGCTCCAAAGTTTAGCCACGAACTGAGCCAGCCAAGGCGAAACTTCACATTGAGAAGCGAAAACCGAAAAACGACAAACAAAAAAAAAAATGAAAAAAAAAAGGCAGGTAAGGAAAACCGAAGCGAGAGGCTTTCTTTCCAATGCCTGCGTACAATCCTTTGTACGAGAACGAACCAGCAAAGCCGAGGCACATATGCGGAGTGTGTTATTTTGGAAGGATTTCAGCGTGTTGTTGCCTGGAAATCTCACACAAGTCTCTCTTTCGCTCTGGCACGCACTCTTAGTCGCTCTCTCTCTCTCTCGAATTGACGCCCCCCCACTCGCTCTGCCTTCTTCTCTCTCTTTCTCTCTTTGTGCGTGTTGTATTGTATGCCGTGCGTGTCCTGCGCTCTTAGCCTACGTCTGCATGCCACAGTCGCTGCTTGAGTCACACACACACACACACACGCACACGCACACTTTCACTGCCAACAAATTTAGTTTTGATACCAACGTTGATTGCCGAATTTTAGACACTTAATTCTCGCAGACAATTGCAAAGTTTCATTTTGTTGCAGCCGCAATTCGCTGCGGAAAATGTTTTTCGAATCTACATCTAATTTTTTTCACTTTTGAAATACTTTTTTTTTTGATCATTTATTGGCCATGCTTATGCTATTTGTGCGGGCGCACAAAACGTTAAAAATAGATGCCACAGGCCTCGCCAGCAGCGTCAACAGCGCCGACGGCGACGGCTACAGCGACGGCGGCTGCGACAGCATCAAGTTCAGGCTGAGCTGATGGACAGAAGACGCACACGGACGCTACGAGCAGGCAAGGCGCGAGGAAGATGAAACTTTTGACCTTAGTCAAGTGAAAACGTGTCTCCTGTTCTGTGTGTGCGTGTGCGTGTGTGTGTGCCGTGTGCCGTGTGTATTTATGTCACAACTCTGTCAAGCTGTAAACGGTTTATGCGCCTAATTGGCCTGCCCTTTGGGCAGCCGATGCGGCCTTTAGTTAAAGCGCCTGCTTGCCTGCCAAATAATTAATGCAACTGCAAGTTGGCCCTAGCCGCAGCTACTAACGGCTAATTGCCAACTGCCTGACTGTTAGCTAATTACTGCTGCTGCATTAATAATAACTTTCGAGTTCTTGCGGCTTGTTGGGGCAGCAACCGCAACACGAGGCGACACTCACAATGCCGCGCCCAGTTTGTTTGACGCATAGCGCATGAATTTGTGGGCCCAGCCCCGCTGCCCCCCCTCATTAGACTGCTGTTCATCGCTTTTATGATTATTGCGACGCCGCGTCTGCGTCTGCCCCGTGTTTTTTTATACCCCAAATTGACGCCAGCGTCGACGTAGACCACCCACTCCCTCCATTACCCCACTCCGCCTGTTGTCAGTCAAAGGCCCAACCCTGTGGACTTGGGTGTTGCGGCTGCGGCTGCGGCTGCTGCTGCTGCTGTTTGGCAATTTGTTGTGTTGTTTGCCTAGTTTTCGATTTTTGCGCCATTTATCTGCTGTAAGTGGCCGTCTGGCATTGCTGGAAGGGGCCGTGCAGTGGGCCGGAGATGGGATGGGCATATGAAAGTTGTTATTAATGTGCGGAAATTTGATTGCGGGCCCCCATGCGCCACTTTGGATTAGACAACCAACACAGAGCACGTTTCAGGATAACTGTGTCCTTTTGCCTGGCAAAAAGCATGTGGAATCTCTAGTGGAGTACAAAAAATCAATGGATTGACTTTGGCTGCTGTGTGTTGGCCGCCTTTTTTCTGCACTCTTGAACGCGTCACTCGAAATTTGCGACACAACCATTTTGCAGATGTGTGTGTTTGTGTGTGTGTGTGTGTGTGTATGTGCTTGGGACTTATTTAATTTGTTTGTAGTGCCTTGTGGTCGCACTTGATTTATTTGACGCTTTTCAGCTTAATATTTTCTTTTATATTTTTCTTTCATTTATTTATTTTATTTTCTTTGGATTTGTCGAGCATTTTTCATGAATTTGCTTGGCTCAAATTATTTTTTGCATCATTTTGATTTTCGCTTGATTTTGCGACAATTTGTCGCGACACTTTTACTTTTGCACTTACACGCATCGGAAACGGCATCGGAGACCGCAACGGGTTCGGTTTTCAAGGTGAGAACAACCGATGCATTAACATTAATGCGCTAGCATATTTTTACACACATTTTCCACGCTCGTATTTACCTATTTTTATTTATTTTTATATTTTAATTTTTTTTTTCTGTGTGTGTACAGTTCGTTTTGTTGTCGGCCCTTGGGCGCACACGGACAGACACTCGGGCAAGAGTCGAGAATTTTGAGTACCCTCAAGGCGAGACACAACACGTCACGTCACGACACGACACGTCCGTTTTCAGCTGTGGCCGTTACTCCACTGAACGCCGAACACTGAACATGGCGTTGGCAATGGCGACCATGTCAAGTTTTTCACAATAGAAAAACTTTTTCACGCGCCTCGCTCTTTTCGCTGTTCTCACTCTCTGGTTCTTTCTCTCTCGCATATCTCTTGCGAACACGCTCCCATTCTTTGGCGCGCGCTCTCCTCGTCCATCCGTCCATCTATCTCTCCCTCTCTTTCTCCCTCTCTCTCTCTCTCTCTGTCCGTCTCTGTTGTTATTGTTGCCGTTTTGCCGAGTGATAAAGCAAAAGCTACACAGACCCATAGAGCGCGTTAATTTGCGCCTTTTCCGTCTGCTAGTTAACTTTTTCTTTATTTTCCGTTCAATTTTGCCAACATATTCATTCATTGTCAACTTGCGGTACTTTGTTTTGCGTTCCTTGCTGTTTTTCACGCTGCTATCAGTTGCTAAGAGTTTTCTTCTTTTCTTTTTTTTGTTTTTGTGCCCATTTCCTTGGGCTTTATTATTTATGGTCATTTAGTTAGCGCACGTGACAGTTCATAATGCATAAATTTAAAGCATATGGATATGCTTCTTTTTATATGGTTTTTATCGCTTATTTAATATGTGGCATACGCTTCTCTCTCTCTGTGTGTGTGTATGTGTGGGAAAAAGAAAAGTTTTTGGCCTTAGGCAGCAATGAATACAAATTACCAATCAGAAGAATATTGACATCTGGGCTAAAAAAGAGACAATTTAATCTTTATCAATGCCAGTTACCATGTCTCTGCCTCTCACTCTAAGTGCAAAGGCCTTGAATTCTCTCATAATAAATTAAATACTAATAGTAAGGATTTCATGGCACATTTGTTTACATTAAGTATTATCACAACTTCAAACAAATTACAAATCGTTTCTTAGTCCAATTGATGATGTTTTCTTTTGAATTTCAACTCCAATAATCAAGCCCAACTGATTGAGGACTTTTTATTTCTACATTCATACATCTTATATTGTTTAATAATTAATAATTAATATATTTTTTAATTTACATTTAAAGTAAACGTTTCCCATTCATTTAACAATAATATTGAAATCAAGTTGAGCTCCATTGCCGCTATAGCAATCAGCTTTTGTCACGACCAGCTGCTGATAGCACATAACACAACCTAAAAGACTAGCCAGAGACAGCTAACTCGCTCACACTTCGTAGGCAACGAAACGCGCGCGTTTTGTGCGCGTTTGATGTGCGTTTTGCCAGAGTTTTCCGTGGAGTTTCTGAAACAAATTCATTAAAAATAAGTTGTTGGCGCAACAAACAAATGAAAAACTTCGATAGATCAGTATCGAGAGTTAGTGTCGACCGAAATTATAATGCCCGTAAATCGGCGCATATATCGGACACCATCAAGAGACGCCAAGTGCAACAAGTTGATGTTTTCATTAGCCAACGACAGCGACAACGACCACGCAATAGGCCAGCGAGTCAGTAAGCCATCTCAGACAAACCAGCCAGCCTCTAATTAACAATTTCGTAATTGAAACTAAGCCCTGGCCGACGGCAGTTGATGAGGAGGTGGAGCGAATAGCGAGGAGGGGGGCGGTAGCCAGCCCTACAATGAGTTACGTCTGTTGCGAATGGTCCCGATACATTGGCGTAGGGCTTTTGATTAATGAGCAGCTTAAGTGATACCGGGCAGCTGCTCCGACTGAGCATTCAGCTGAGTAGAAGAAAGACAAGCCCAGCTGATGAAGTCACTAATTTGACTTAAAAACGCATTAAAAACCATTTTCGATAAAAAGCACCAAAACAACCAAACGACGATCGCGTGAGGCATCCAAGTGGCCAAGCGGCCAAGCGGCCAGCAGCTCGCAGGGTTTTTCCGTGTTTCTCGATATGCCCGTAGTCGGAGACAGTCTCCGTCTCATTCACCGTCTCCATTGCTGTCGGCGGCTCTTGTGAAAGTTGTGCGAAAACCAAAAAAAAATATCCCCACACCGACGCCTCTAGAAGAATGTAGTGCAGGGCATTGGCTATAAAGAACTTATCTGTATTTCTAATTTTAAATACTAGACGTACGAGATGCTGATGAAGGCTTTTCTATTAGAAAATCTTAAAAATTGTTATTATAAACTGAAATTTATTAAGAACTTTTAATAGAAAATCTAGGTGAAAATCTTGGCGAAGTAGACAAATCTAATCAAATTTCAAACAGTTTTTAGCCAGGTTCTTATATATATTTTATTTATTTAGGAAACTTTTATCAAATATTATATGTTATATATATTATACCCGGCTAGAAATGCCACCCACCAAATCTTTAACTGCCAAACACTTTGAAAATGAGTTTGAGACCGAACGGATGGTAAACGGAAAAGTTGTATACAAACGTTTTTCATGATTTTTCCATACTTGTTGATGAAATTTCCCGAAACCTAGTTTACCAGTTCTTACGGGTTGGACTGTGCGTTGGTCACCAATCAGTCATTCAGTCAGTCAGTTAATCAGTCAGGACAAACAGTTTTATATAAAAAGATAATTTATTTTTACATATTATAATAATTTTTGGCACCTAAATCAATGATTATTCATTTATTTTTCATATCCTTCTCAGTGCATGTGAGTTTTTAATTTACTTTCTTCTACTATCTTCTTCAGTTAGTAGTCTAGAGAGCAAGCCTTGCTGCATGTTAAAAAATGCTGCCAAGCATATAAAAAGAGTATTTAAAGGCAGTATTTATAAATGTATAAATGCAAAAGCTTGTGTATTCATAAAAAAGAGAATTGATTTAAATGGCTAGCACAGCCATAAGCAAAGGCTATTGCTCCGCAGCTGCCACCCACAATTGTGCGTGGTGTTTGAGCGCCATAAAAAAAGGGGAAAAAAACACGCCTCTTACGTAGTTATAAAGAAGGCTTAGCTCGAGTTGACAAGCGATGTGTGTGTGCATTTAAAGATCTCTTTGGCCAAAAGCCAGAAAAGAGACAAATAGCGAACAGCAGCACACAAAATACGTATAAAGCAGATAAAAGCCAAAATAACCTTCATTGGCCATAAAAATCAAAAGCATCTCAGCTAACAATGAATTGTGTCTATGGCCAGCAACAAAAGCAGCAGCAGCAACAACAACAACAGCAACAAATGACAGCAGCGCAAAAAATGAATAAAAAAAAAATAAGAAACAAACACGAAAAAATTTACAATTTAAATAAAATCACTTTATTACAGTTTCGCATATTCGCGACAATGTAAAACAAATAATAAAAATTGACAGTAAATAAAATTCAGACGCATATTGTTTGAATAGCTGTCGGATCAGCTAATGAACTTCCGGTCTTTACTTAATGCTGGAATATGCCATATAAATTGCTTTTGGCCAGTTGGGCTGCAGCATGAATCATGTTGGCCCTGCGACAAAAGTTCAGAGGTTGAACGATCAGCAAGAAGCGAGCCGCTGCCGTGCTACCCTGCTAAAACCCCTCTCTCCCTCCTTCCCTGTCTGTCTCTCTGTCTTTATGGCTGCATGTGTTGGCTGTCTAGTAACCGGCATGACGTCTACGGCGGTGCTGCTTCTGCCGCTGCTGCTGCTGCCGGCGTCATAGACTCGGAGCTGCTTGGCCCCCAGCTGAAGCCAGGTTTGGGCCCGCGCTCAGTTGGCTACGAGCTGCAGCCGCGATTGGGCTAGCCGCGTGTTACGGAAAGCGAAAACAAAATCGAAATAAAAAACGAAATTGAAATCTTGGACTTGGAGTCGCGTTGCCTTTCTACCCTCGAACGTGTTAAGTTTTTTAATTAGACGCATTTGCGAGTGAATTGTTCGCCGACACAAAAAAAAAAGTAAAAATAAAATAAAAGTCATATCAAAATCAAAACAAAAACAAATTGAAATAAAAGAGAAAACAACAAAACAAATATCAAGAATTTCGAGCAGCAATCAAAATTGCTCGAGTGCAGTGCGAATTTGAAATTGTGTCAAAGAAAATCAGTTCAGAAAAGAAAAACAGATCGATTCTAAAGCAAACTTAGTTCTACATGTTTCGTTTTGATGAGCGCAATTACTGAATTCATATTTATTTATAAATAAAAAGGTGAGTAATTAATATTAATCAATGTATAGTATTTTTTACTACCTACACACACATTTATTCAATTTGCCGCATGCTTGTGCAGTCAGCGCCCGGCTAATTAAATAAATTCCAAAAAATGTTTGACTCAAACCAAAGCTCAGTCGACAACAGAAACAACTGATTTATTGTTTAAACATGTTCGGCTTGTGCGGAAAGTTTGAGGCATATGTAACATGCAAGAGATGAATTAAAAATAAAATAATAAAGCTAACAAATTAACTAAAACGAAGCCAATGAAACAAAAACAAAATGCTAGACAAGAGTAACAACAAATGCGACAATAACAACAAACAGCAAGCCAAAAAATAAAAAAAAGGAGAAGATGGAAAAGAAGCAGAAAAAAACACTATCAACAGCCTTGAAAAGTCGTGCTTAATTTCTCAGTTAAACTCAAGTATAAAATATATGCTTAAAAAATTATAATGAAGCGAGATCTTTTCGAATTGGTATCTGGTATTTCTCATATCGTATTTATATCGCACCATTGTCTTTCCCAACTACACATGTGCATTTCTGTGTGTGCATGTGTATGTATTGGTGAATGCTGCCAAATTAGTGCCAAATTAAGTTAAATCATTTTTATTGAGATCTAAATTAATAGGTGAAAGCCAAACTAATTGATTAAGGCAAGCGACACGGCCAGACGCAGTGGGAGTGGGAAAGGCATTGGATGTGGGAGGATGTCTTGGCAACTAACATGCAAGTGTTATATACAACATTCCGTTGATTAGATCTGACTGTATGATTTCAATTCCACACTTCCTTCGAAGATATTCAGCTTTTGGCAGCCGCGAACCGAAACTGAAAAACAGCCAAAATAGAAACCTCAAGCTAAAATTGTTGTTCCCTCTACAAGGGCATAAGCATATCAGCAATTAATCGTCTTTTTTTCTTCAGTTTTATGTGCATTTTATTGCGAACTTGTTATTCGTTATTTAACAATTTCAACAAAATAAAAAAACGAGTAGCTCAACTTGTTGTTTCGGCGAATTACCCATGAATCAAGCCACTCACGAGAGTTGAATAATTATATTTGTCCCATATATCCATTTCGTCCTATTGAAGCATTTTAATAGTTTATTTCAACAATTATACAAAAGGGTCATTGGAATACTTATTGATGCATTATAAAATTTAAAAAATGTGCGTCATTTAGTTGAGAAAATCCATCATTTAGTTAGAAAATCGGTGTAAAAAATATTGTATAAAACCTTATCTATTTTGGGTTCAAACTCATTTAAAAAAATATGTTTTATGTAAAATTTTTTCAGTCGAGTGATACATTTTTTGTTTTAGCTATAAAAGTTGCTTTAGAAAATGGTATTGAATTTTTGCAAATGTGTCTAACGACCAGAACAAACTGTCTTCAACCGCAAAAACGTTAAGCTGAGTCGATCTAGCTTCTGTTCATGCCACCGTCTGACTGTCTGTCTCAAACCTAAATGGTATGGAAAGAGTATATATATTAGTTAATATATATTTCAAGTAATATACATTTCAAGTTTTGATTTAATATAATTTGTTTCCGATAAATTCGCAATCTGCAAATTGGCTTTGCTAGAGGCACAATTCGATAATGTTTAAATATAATGACGGGCATGCGGCTCGTATATAGCTCAATCTGGACACCCAATTTCCAAGCATTACGGCCGTTGTGATGTTGGGTATGTTGTTTTACAAGTTGTCCAAGATCACTTCACGTAACCACAAGGAAAGTGTGTTAAATCGCACGACCTCGTTGGTCAGTTGATGCATTCGAGAAATATTAAAAAAAAATCTAAATATTTGAGTTTGTTTAATGCCTTCGGTCCTAACCCTCAAATTTAAGTTCTGAGAGCTTGTTGCTCTCGCGCTTGCGATTGCACACACATATATTTTGATGTCATTGTAAAACCTTAACCATTAACTTAGAATTAATAAATAAAGCAATAAACTGAACAGATCATAAAAATAAATACTTAAAATATATAGCAAAAGTAATTAGACAAATCATTTGAAATACATTGCAGTCAATTTAAACGACTTGACAATTGATCAATTTGGAATGTGTTAATTGTCAGTGCGAAATCGTTTTCGACTGTTGTTTCAGTGCATTTTCGGCCAAATGACTTAATGCCGTGCAAATGGCCAAATGCTCAATAGGCCGTAAAACATTTTGAACAGCAGCCAAAAGCCAAAACAGCAACAACAACAACAACAACAGCAACAGCAACAAGAGAGCGAACAACTCTTTTGTTTATGATTTATGAGCTGATGAACTGGCCGTGGTCGGCGGCGCCTGCGCAACATGGGAAATGCCAAGAGCGTGGGCGTAACTATGTGCTAGAGCCGAGACTCCAGCCATGCCTGGCCGAGGCGACTCCATTAGCAAATGCCAATGTTGGCGACAATGTCGCTAAATGGCCCAAATGGCCAAAATCTCCAAAATCTCCAAAATGACTAAAATGCCGCCGCTGTCAAGCTCATTTGCGCATTCAGTTTTATGGGCTTTTGTTATGGCTGGCTTTTGTGTATTGTGTTGCCAAAGTTGATTGATTTATGAAATTGAAAGTGACAACCTCCACATGCTATGGCCATGCTCCACCAGGCCAGATCCCGGAAATCCTAACACAGCCTCAGCTCAGCCGCAGGTGTCAGTCTTAAAGAACAACTCGGACACAAGTTCTATTGAAATTATTTCATTTTCATGGCATGACTTGACCCTGTTTATTGTTGTTGCTGTTGTTGTTACCTGAAGTCCGAATCTAATTGTAGTTTGTTTTTTACTATGATTTTTACCTATGAAACTATAACACTTGGCACTGAGATACGCTTGTCACGAAATCCGGTTTCTGATCTCGTATTGTGTGCTTTGCTCTTGATATGAACAGCATTTCAGCTTTTTATGTATTTATACACATTATGATTATCATTTTTATTTGCGGTAGCCGTTGAATTAGTAACGGTTATTTCTATACCAAAAAAAAAAAAAAAAACTTGGGAGTTACATTTTGTTGTTTTTGTTAATATTAATAACGTGTTTTGGTTGTTTTATCCGATTTATAATTTGAAATTCTATTTTTGTAGAACATGCAAACTTAATTGGGGAAATGCCCAACTTTGAAAATAACAGTTTAAATTTCAAATAGAACATTTGAGAGCTTATGAACAGAAGGAACTTTTAAACAAGTCTGAAAAAGCAGACAGTTAACATCATAAGCACAAGCGGCTAACAACAAATCCTGTTCGGCTAGTGAATACTGTAAAGGTTCGGAGCGTCCTTTATCGGGCAACTTTATCCAACCGGTTAGTGAAGGGTAAGCTTGTTACTATTTAGTTTTAATTCCAGCCTAATGCCAATTACACTATGCAACAGCATTAAACAATAGATTTGGAATAATAACGAAATGGTATTATAGTAGGGCTTGGTAGGGTATGGCATTATATTTTATAACAAAAATTTGATGGTAAGGATCTGGATCCGTATATACTATTCTAGCAGCTACTTGTCAAATTTGGTGACTCAAACCATTCAGATCACAGAGATTTGCTCAAAATCAGAATTTAGATATTGGTTATCGATTTGTACCGATTGCTTGGAAACAGGATACGCTATCGATTCGATCGAATAACTAACTCGTACTCTGCAGGCACTGGAAGGACCTACGTCAATGTCTCTAGCTCTTATAGATTCTGAGATATACATGTTCATTCATACGGACGAACGGACGGACATGGCTAAATCGATTCGACGTTCAATACTGATCAACATCATACTCTTTCTACCCATTTTTAATGTGTTCATGAAATGCTACAAAAATTGACAATTGACTGTGCATTCAGAAAAAGCCGGAATTGTTTAAAGTCAACTGATGCAAATAGATACATGTGTTATGGTTATATGGTAATATCCTATGGATAAGTGAGCATGTTCTAGACCTTCAAGCATGCCAAAGATCGATGTTCCTCGCAAGGCGCATAGCATGCATGCAATTACATGCCAATAAACAGCTTGTGTTTTTGTATATCAATTAATGCTGTAAGTAGTTGTTGCTTCTGTTCACGGTGCGAACCAACTTCCAATCCTTAGTTGCCTTTAATTAAACTGAGCTTCTCATTCCTTAACTCAGGCTTTGATTCATTTCATTTTGAATTTTCAATTCGGGTTGGTTAGGATGTGTCCCGGCTCTAATCTGTTTCTCTCTATGATCTTCACCATTTTTAATTTCTTAGTAAAAATTAGATTTAGAGTTCCGGAATCAGCTTTCAATATATGTATATTCATCTTGCTTATTTAGATACAAGTTCAGATCTAGCAATTGAATAAATTTATAAATATTGACATTAGTCGACAGGCGACTACCGTTTAAGATGCCCAATGTAACGCCCACTCGCTGGCTTGCCAAGTAATTAATTGCAATTGCGAACTGTGGGCGTGGCCAATGGGCCAGCATTGTCTATGGTGCTCGCAAGCTAACCCACACAGCTGGCCAAATGGAGTTTATGACTGTGCGGGCAGCAGCTTTGGTGGTTTTGGAGTCACTTTCACTTTTAGCAATTTATTTTCGCAATTTACGCAGCGCTCATTGTTGATGGTTTTCTTGTTGATTGTTTGACTTGACTCGCGACAACCTGAAACTGAACTCCATTTGGCCGCAACAACTCGCCCGACCCGGCCCCAACTTAATTAGCGCTTTGTGGTGCCAAACGCAGCTACGACTATTTGTATGGAAAACACTTTTTGAGCACTTTTCATTGCTGTGTGCAGAACAAATGTCGTTGAGTTTTTCACTTACAGTCTTAGCTTTGAACTGCGAAATATTATGAAATCAAAATGTGAAGCTCTAAATTACAATTACATAATTTGCGGCTGAGCTAGTCGACTTCTTTAAGGGGTAGTTCGAAAAAATAGAAATGGAATTAGCACTTGATGAATAAGAGACAACTAAAAAGCGAAAATGATATAAGCCATTGTCAAAACTTGTATTGTTAAAACTTGGATAAGGTTGTCCAACTGAAAGATACAAGCACACGCAATATTATATAGACTAAGCATATCTTCCAGATCAAAAATGTATTAGAAATAATTAATTCATATTCATATTTACTGCCCGCAACAGAGGTCAAAATCTTATGATGATAGCGACCAAACTAGGCTGTAGATGCAGAACTTAGGTACTTTATGGGCTTGGGAATGTCCGTGAAATAAACGGACTTATCAAATCGGCTGCTGATGTAGGATAAATGCACTTAATGCGCTCCAAGATTTCTCTTTTCATTTAGTTATAAAATTTAAATAACATCTACCAAACATGCCCTAAACAAACTGCGTTAAATAATCAATAATTATAATTAGCTAAAGTGCAAACAAAGCTTTTAAATACATATAATTTATATATATATGCATCTGTGCTTATTCGCATTCAGCCCAAGCTAAGTGCACGAGCACACTCGTAAATCAAGTTAATTGTATAATCTGTAAGCAAATAATACAAGTATAAGGTGTTTATCTAGTATAATCGATTCCGTACATAATCAAGTGATTTATTGCAATTTCTCCAACGACCATTGTCGGCGTTCACTTTCAGCTCATCAGCCAAAACTGACAACGCGCCGCTGCCAAACAAAATTCAGCTCTCAACTCAACTCAACTCAACTCAACTGTTTGTGTGTGTGTGTGTGTGTATCTCAGGCAACGGAAACGCAAATGCAAATGCAAATCCCGAAAGCCCAACGACGAATGAATTGACAATGACAAAAAGTATTAAACGTCTCCGACTTCGTCTCCGCGCTTCTAGTAGTTTTAGTGGTATACTCCTTAGCCATGTGGTGAGTAGAGCAAGCATTCATTCGCACTCATTCACAGTCTAAATATATGTATATTCAACTCTTGCAGATATTAGCTTGTATTTCCGCAGCATTCAGCACGCCGCCATCATGCGGCTTATATGGTGCGCCGCCTTGCCAGTATCTGCCAGCGCCGCCGGGACAGACGCCCAAGTAAGTTTGTTGGCCAATAAGACACACATCTGATCCAACTACGGATTCTCATGCTCCCTCTCTTTTTCTCTCTCTCTCTCTCTTTCTTTCTTTCTGTCACAGCTGTGCCAGGCCCGGCAAAACCTACTGCGAGCATGTCGCTAACTATCCCACGTAAGTTGTTCGCGTTGCCGGCTAATGGCCATAATGTCAGCATAAATAATACACTTAATGTGCCAGCTCCAAAGTCAAGCAGCAGCAACAGCAACAAAAACAGCGATTGCTAACAAACAAATGCATTTCAAACAAATGTTTGTCGTTGTATCCAAAATCAATTCGAATCAAAGTCTCAAATCGAGCTGCCGAAACCAGAAACAAGTTTTTGCATATACCACACGCGTATCTATTGTCAATAGATACCCGAATACCCGTATACCAATAGACCTGTAGACCTGTTACCTGCTAGTTGCCAGTTGCCTACTGCTGACTGCTAGCATTTGGCTGCTGCTGTTTCCGCGACGACAACGCACGTACTCGAAGATGTTGCTGTTGCTGTTGCTGCTCGACCAGCTGGCGGAGCTCCTTGACCCAATAAACTTGAATTGACAGTTCAAGACACTTTGTCTGTGGCGACGCGCCGCGTGCTTCTCGAATATTTATGAATGCCTCTTTGAATAATTAAGCATTTCTATGCTCTTTCTAAGGGTATAAATAACTATGATATACACATAGTTAGGCATAGGAAAAATCAAGAGTTCTAACAGAACGAAATATCTTGTTCTCTTTTGGGTACGTTAGATTGCAACATATTTTGCATTTTAAACTTAGGAGTTTTTCATGTTTATAAAAATATCTAACTAGAAAATTATTTCTTATGAGAATAATTTTTGAGATTTAGCTGAAGATAAGAATAAGAAAAAGAGTATATTAAAATATTTCAGTATTTTTATCAAATTTTGGCAAACAATTTTATTTTGATTTAATAAATCTATAATCTGTATCTTCTCTTTAACTGTCATCAGTTCTGAATATAAGAGCCTATTATCGGTTTGTTAGTGTATTTAAACTTCGTTGATTGCAACTTCAATATTTTTTCGTTAGTTCATTTATATATGGATTGCTATGTGGTTTTTTTTTCTGTGTGGTTTTCCATTTGTGTTGCTATTTTTAGACAATTTCTTCGATTTAAATAAAGTGTGCGTTAGCTGTTGCCACTACACGCAATGATAATGATAATGATAATGATTATGGTAATCATAATGATAAGGCGGACGCCAAGTAAGGCCGCAATTCGGCGCCGACTCAGCAATTAAGTAGTCATTTTTACGAGGCCTACGGAATTTGGATATTGCATAATTCTAAAAAAAAAAATATATATATATATATATAAAAAACATTTCGTATGTGGAAAAGCCAGGGCCCGTTTTCACCTCATAATGCGGCACGTGACACGCATGCGTTGCAGCTGTTAAGAAGACGAAGAAGAAGAAGAAGAGGTTAAGTGTTGAAGACATCAACACGAGCAGTTGTGTTATATGCATTACTCAGACTCGTATTTACCCCAACATATTGTCTGGCTGCATATTAATTATGATTTAACAGCTCTCTGAGGGGCGTGGCGCAATTTCGAGCACTTGCCCGCCCGCCAGTCGCACCCTACCTCCGTCCGTCGGTCTTTCGGTTTATTTGCTTGTTACACAAGCCAATTGGGCGATGTCGACAAGTGGCATGATATTCCACTTTCGCAGCACATTCCCAGGCAACAGCAGCAACTAATCTACTCAAAATAATCTCTTGCATCACCTGGGCAACGAGCTCACAACGGGCTCACAATAAGCTCAACTCATTGTCTTGACGTTTTTTTTTTTTTGTCAGATATCTCATCAAGAGTCTCGTACGTAAATGGGGCTACGAGGCGGCCTCTTTGCTGGTCGACGAAACCTGGGATGAATTCTCAGCCGTTGCGTGGTCCGACACGCCCGTATTCTATGATCCAAAGTCTATATTTCCGCAGCGTGACTTTGCCAATGGGCAAGACTTCAATGGTTACAGCTATCAGACGCCGTTTGGCAACGTGCCACAGCGTGGGGCGGGCAACTCTCTCTTTGCCCCCAACCCCACAACGGATGCGCCCACGTGAGTAACTAAAGTAGCTCTCCTCTTTAGACAATTCTAACTTTCTCTTACGCTTTAGCTACCTGTTGTACACCTCGGCGGGAGCGGGCGCTGGCCAACGTGCGGGTAACCAACAGACCGGAGGACACTCTGCAGCGGGCATGACGCAGCTGTTCCTCAATAATCTGGGCAGAACGCCCTACAATGCGACGCTCTGGCTGAAGCGTCTGGTGCGCGATCTGAGTATCAAGCAGAAGGCCACACAGGCGGCAGCAGAGCAGGCAGAGCAACAGCAGCAAGGAGAAGAGCAGGCTGTGGTAACGGAGCAGGCTGCTGGCCAGGAGGAGAGTTTAAAGGGGAAGGAGCATGAGCAGCAGAAGCGCAGCACGCGCGATGTATCGCTCAACATGGATCTCTTAGATATTGTGGGCGTCAGCGACAACAATAAGAAAAAATCTCGCACCAAGCGACAAAATCCGTCGCGCTCAACGCTCTGCGAGACAACATCGCAGTTTATAACGCCACAAGCGGCTCTCAATTCCCGCGGCAATTGGATGTTCGTGGTCAACGAGGAGAATACCGCTCGTCAGATGGTCAAGGCGGAGCTCTGTGCGTAAGTATGCCCCACAAAAGTGAGTCCCAAATAATCTTTGATCAAATACTTTATACTAAAGTTTATAGCTAAAACTGCATATTACAATTTAGGCGTTTCGCGCGCGTTTTTCTTAACTTTCGCCTTGTTTGACTGTGGTTTGTGTCCGAGCTGAACATTAAAGCAGCAAGCACGTACTCAGCGTTAGGCTGTGCACTGCTTGCGCACTGCTTGTTATTACATTAGGATGGCTCAAATTATCATTTTAAACATAAATTTTAATATTTTAACTTAAATAATTCAAACTTTCTTATTGGTATGTAACAAATATTGATCCGATTCGTAATTGGCTGATTTCATTCAATATTCGTATATTAATTCAGATGATTTAGTTAAATGTTCAACATTATTAAGGCAACATTTATATAACAAAAGGAATGAAGTGGATTTGTTGAAGATATACTCAAATTGTATTACCAAATTCTTGATATCTCTTACATATTGCTATAGAAAGATAATTTGATTATTTTACTTTAAGTAGATAACGTTTACTAATTGATATTATTTAACAAATATTATTCTGACTGCTAATTATTTATTTTCGCTCAATTTTCTTACAACGTAAATCTCTTTACTACTAAATTGAGCATACTTCTCATCTTCTCAATGTCAATGTTTATGCCCTATTGACTAGTGCTGTTTTTTTTTTTTTTTTTTCATCAATTAATTTAAACAACACACAACACTTGCAATCAGCGCAAAGGGCCCCTCTCCCGCCGTCACACACACACACACACACACACAGCAGGATAGCGTCAGCTCAGTTCCATATCAATAAGTGTTCCCCTTTTCGGTAAATACTTATGCTGTTGGGTTAGTTAGGGGAACCCTACGGCATGATGGGCACGTGGGCAGAACTGCAAGCACTAGTATGGGTATGTGCACGGTTATGTTTTGTGTCATAATTGCGGCTAAACGAATTATAACACCCCGAAACAGCCAAGATTACCAACGGCCGGCCGGTGCTGCCTTATGGATGTGTCCCCTTCGTGCCCTTATGCGTGCGCTACTCAAACCTTTCAGCGCAGTGGAAAAAAAGCGCAAACAGAGGTAAAAATAGGGTGACGAGACCTGATGAAGTACACATACATATTCGAGTAGCTGTAGCCAGTGCAGAGAAAGAGACAGAGACTGAGAGAGAGAGTGTGTGTGTGTGAGAAAGAGAGAATGTATTTGTATTAGAGCTGCATCTACTGCTGATGCTGCCTCTGGGGTCGGTCAATGCGTGCCCTAATTGTTTGTCGCTTGTCGCCTGCCCTACTGCCTGCATATATGCCCTGTGCCCATACCTATACCCTGTCCCTTGGAGTGATGCGGGGTACTTAGCTCGCAATTTGTTTAACCAAATGAGTGGCTGTGCGCTGTGGCGCATAAATCGTGGCCAAGGAGCAACAGCTGGACGGGATGCAGCACTCCAAGTGCCCGAGTACCGTTGCTCAACTCCTTATCAATTACGTACGATTCCCGTTTTAACAAGTTCGTTAAACTTTCAACTTTGCAGCCGGCGCTTCTCTGCTGTTTTTTTTTTTTTTTCACTTTTTATTTACGAGCAAAGCCCACAACTAAATTTGCTCCATTTGTTGATTTTTTTTTTGCATTTGACGCTGTTTCCGCGACTACTCCTGCTCCTTATCTTCCTGCTCCTCCTGTCGTTGTTGTTATAAATTTCTTGCCATTTTAGCTCAAACACATGCTCAAACCTGTGCGATCTGCCCAATGGATACAACTCCAGGTGCGAGCAGAAGTTCGTACAAAAACGTTTAATTGCGCTGCAGGGCAACGGCCAAAATCTCTACACGGACACGTTCTGGTTTCCCAGTTGCTGCGTCTGCACGATAGCCGCAAATTAAGCAGCGCCAGCGACAGATGAGCAGCTGAGCAATGGATGCATTAGGACCGGATCCGGCCCAATCGAAGTGAGAGAGAGAGAGAGAGAGAGAGAGAGAGAGAGATGTGCGACATTGACAGTGACAGAGCGCGACTCCCGATCCACGACCGAGTAGCCATGTCATTTGGACACTGAGCCAGCTCTGGCTTTCAGCATTGTAATTATTGAGTGTTGAAAATGATTTTTACAGCAAATAATTGATAACTAAATTTAAAGTGCACACATATACACGCACGCACGCACACTTTCATACGAAACCCACACACACTCACGCACACATTTACTGTAGTCTTACATTTAATTTAAAAACAAAGTAGTAAAAAGCAAAGCAAAGGCAACATAATGGAAATCATATTAAATAAACGAACGATATAATTGAATGCGATTAATTAGGCAACGCCTTGTGGACTACGAGATGATCTATAAACGGCATGGGCTGTTTATATGCAACTTATATATAATTATATATAAATTATATATATATATATAAAAGCTAACCGTAGAACAACGAGAACAACAAACAAACGCTCAAAATTCTCATATTAATTTTATTACAACATATTTTGTTTAAATTTCAAATCAAAATAATGAATTTAAAAGTATTTGTTCTTAGACTTTAAATTGATCCACAACACTCATAAATAATATTCATTTATTATTAATAAATTCTCGCCAATTCTAATTGTCACATTTCACACAAATGTCCAAAACTCAAATCTGCAATTAGTAAATTGAGCCCTAAGCGGGCAAAAATAGTGTTGTGCGCTTTTACATTTAATGGAATTTTCGGTTTTCCTTCGTTTAATAATGATTGCAAAATTGATACAACAACAATTGCAACAACAACAATGACAAACAGGGAAAGCAGCAACAGCTACACAAATACTGAGAGCACCTGCTGCAATTGGAATTACATTTCATAAATCCAAAAACAATAATCGTAAAATATCATCAGGTGTCACGCGCAAAACGGAACCCAATCGCAGGGTCCGCACATACAATTGAAGGGCTGTATGCATCGATTGATGGCCGCGAGGATGTTGACGCCGACGAGGGTGAGGATACGGAGGAAAACGAGGACATGGCTTCATTTTTGCAGAGTGCCCTCATGAGCGCACTCAATGTACGGATGCAAAGGAAACAGATGGAAAGCCGGAGTATTACCGGAGATATACCATAGCTCAATCCGCCAAGTCATGATTCCAATTATATAACTAAATAATCCTATTATTTTCATTATCATTATTATTATTATTATTATTTTGATTATTATTATTATTATTATTATTATTATTATTATTATTATTATTATTATTATTATTATTATTATTATTCTTATCATTATTATTATTATATTATTGGTATATAAGTATGGTATGCAGTTACATCTACTCACGCCCGGATCCTCTATATACAAAGCGCCTCGTTTGAATAATGCCTCTAAATCTTTCAAGATTTCTCAATTATAAAAATAACTATCAAGTTTAATCCCATTTTATTATTTTTTCATTATTCAATAATGAAAAGATAACAGAGAGTACAATGGTAATTAACTGAAAACAATATTTTAAAAATATATATTGATCAAATATTCAAAATGCATTGTATCAAAATTGGCTCAGTAGAAAGGCAAAGCAGTTAAAAAGTCACAATATATGTTATTTCAAACAGTCTTTATTTTAATTAATAACGAGCAGAGCTCCCATGATGCAGGATAACTTCATATATCCTCTTTAGTAGAGAACCATACAAATTCTTGATATAATCAAGTGATATACTTGATCAGGATCAACTCTACTCGACAAGGGTATGTTGGAGTATATATACCATGAAATTTGCTCGTTAGTGGACTGACATTGGAGTGGAATCTGTTTGCTTTATTAACTGGTAAATAAAGCACATTTTATTTACTTAAAACCCAAATAGAATATGTCTCAACAAACGAATGCTCTAAAGTAATTTATATAGTATTCACACCCTTTGATTTCCGAGCTCAATCTAATGGCTGCGCAATTTAGAGACAAGGTGCAACAGCGTCGGCAGATCGGATTTTTACCTGTTGTGGAAATTTGCGCACAGTTCATGGCAAACGCCAAGTGGGAAAGAAACCAGAACTGGCACAGTCGGACATACCCACCCACTGTGAATGAGTCTCATATACGACTGCCTCTATAAATGTGTGTGTGTGAGGGTTAATGTCTGCTGTGTACGTGTGTGCTGTTTGCAGTGAGTTTTAGCAATGATTAGCATCACGAAATGGAAAACTATTGTTCCAATACGCAGCAGAGCGTCGTGTCGGGCCAGCAGTTGCCGAGCCAGGTAAGGGCCAGGTACACGACGACATTGACAAATCAGGTAATGGATAAAACGGGCCAAAGTGAGGACGAGCCAACAAATAACAACAATTAAAAATATTTTCACAATTCGAGCTATGTGAAATGCAGCTCAGAGTCGAAATTCAGTTGCAACAGCAAATGTAAAGCAGAGCCAAAGCGCACTGACTGTGGTCAGCAGCATCTACACACAGAGCCTCAGTCCAAAGCCAAGTCCAGGTCCAAGTTTAGGTCCAATGAGGAGCAGCTGAAGTTTGTGGCAAAGCAAAAACGGCTGCGGCTGCCTGGCAACGAGCAGAGCAAAGGAAGCAGCAACAACAACAACAGCAGCAGCAGCGGGCAATAATAATGCAGCAGCAGAGGCAGCAGCAGCAACTGCGCAGTCGACGCTGGCAGCGCACGCAGCCGCTGCGTTGTGTATAAAAATTTAACATCTGCTCCTTTCATGATTTCGGAAAACTCAAAACTCGTACGACAGCAACAGCAGCAGCAACAACAACAGCAACAACAACAACAACAACAACAACGGCAGCAGCAGCAGCAGCAGCAGGGCTGTAATGGAACAAATAAAAAAGTAAACATGTGTGCGTGTTGTGTGTGTGTGTGTGTGTTTGTGTTAGTTGTGTGTGAGAGTTGTTGTTGTTGGTTGTTAATGCATTTGGCTTGTGTTACTCGTATTACGTGCATTTGTGCCGCAGTTTCGTAGCTGAAAGATCTCTTCTTTTTTTTTGCGACAGCAGCAGCAGCAGCAGCAGCATCAGCAGCAGCAGCAGCATCAGCAGTTCGCGAGCTGAGCTGCTTGCAGGACACACACACACACACACACACACAGATACAGTGGTTAGGTCCTTGATGACGGGCCGAATGACTCGCGTGCATTCAACTTGAGCTTCAGCTTCAGTTATCAGCTACAGCAATGCTGTCAGAACTTTTGCTCCTTTTTGTTGCTGTTGTTGTTGTTGTTGTAGCTGGCACTGGTGTTGCCTGCTGCTTGCGGTAAAGTGTTGCCATCGCCTGCTGTTTGCTGTTGCCCTCACTTTTGAAGAGTCCATCAGTTAGTCAGACAGTTTGTTACACTAGAGCCGGGGTTGTTAACGATTGCGTTTGACCTACGTGAGCGTAGAGCGTATTGCTGGCAACATATGCTCAATATATACTTAAGCTAACAAATGCTTTGATATTGTATTCGATATTCGACTTTGCTTGTAGTTTTACACGCTGCACTTCGTTTTTGCATTTTTGCGAGACGCGCGCGCATTCTTTCATTTTTCAAATACGCTGCTGCAACTGTCAGATACTTAATCTGCGGCTGTTGTTGTTGTTGCCGCTGCTGCTGCTGCTGCTGCTGCTGCAATGTGAATGTCCTTTGTTGCCTGGCAAAGGACACACACACACACACACACACACACACACTAGCAAGCAGCGGAGAGACGAAGAGCTTAAGTAACTTTGTTGCACGCACAACTTGCAGCCAAACTTGCGTATACTTTTGCAGCGCAATCAAACGGCAAAAAGTGGCAAAGTCAAAGGCAAAACTGCCACAGACCAATACGAAAACAGCCAGCAGCAGTTGCAGTTGCAGTTGCACAAGGCCCGCCTCACTGCCTCGCCCCGCAACCAGCGCCGGCTGCGTCTTGTGTTTGTGCAGATGTAACATTACGAGCAATTTCGACGCTTCGTCTTGGCCTGTGCGTGTATGTGTGTGTTTGTGTGTGCCTGGGTGTCCGTGTGTGCCTTCTGTATTTACCTTGTGTGATTTTCGTGTGTAGGACAGGTCAGTGTTCCTGTGCGCACCAGGATAAGCATTAGGATAAGGGTTGCGTTTCACAATTTTCCATTACGCAATGCAAATAAGCGAGAACGGAGTTCGCGTTGCCCTACCTTCCTCCCTCCCTTCATGCCTTACTACCATCTTTCCATCACTGACATCTGCTCTACCCATTCCTATTCCCATTCCCACGCCATTCAACAATGCAACTGTCAAGGTTTTTGATCGCCTTTTTTCGCCGCCCGAAGTGCCACACCAAAGCCAAATCCTCCTGCCCACTCGCATCCCCATCCATATCCACATCCACGTCCACGCTCGCATTCACTGGCATCAAAAGGCATCTAACAACAACAACAAAGGCAGCAACAACATTGCCGAAAACGCAGAGGCAGCAAAAATGCACACAAGCTCCAACTAATAGTTTGGCGAGTAACAAAAAAAAAAAAGTGAAATGAAATCAACTGACATATAGAGCCAACCACGGAAACGGGAGCAGGATGAGAATGTGGAGCGCTGCCAGTGCCAGAAATGTGACTCGCTGTGCCCCAGCAGCCCTTCACAAAGGCTGCCAGCAGCAACAAAAAAATAAGTGAAATAAGAAGGCAAATTGTACCAAAAACCCGCAACACAACAGCAGCAGAGCTGCAGCAGCAACAGCCAGTGCAATGCCAGCAAGGATATATGTAGAACACACACACACACACACACACACACACACATATAGTGTTACGCCCACAAGGTCCAGGCTTCATACAGAAATGAGCACAGCAGCAATAGCAACAGCAGCAGCGAAATAAAACCAGAAAATATTCGCTCGTAGCCGTTGCCGTTGCCGTTGCATAGCTCATAGATTGCAAGCTCGCATTGTGCGCGCGAAACTAGGGAAAAAATTTTTTAATTGGAACAACTGTACAGGAGATGCGGCGGCAGCGGCTGCGGCAGAGGCAGAGCAAGCGGCAGAGCAGGCGGCAGCAGAGCAACAGAAACAACAACAAAAGCGCACTTCAAACGTCACACGCTCGTGTTGATGTGTCGATGCATTTGTGTGTGTGCGTGCGCATGCAGCTGTTCATGTATATGCCTGTGTGCGTCTGTGCGCAGGACTTGTTCGATACAGGACTAACAACAGCAAACGG